ATATATATGTGTAGTATAGCGCCATTTATCTTAAAAATTATAGAGATATTAATTTTGGTCCATATCGCCCAGCCCAACTTCACAGTAGGAACATCTTTCAAAGTTTAAAGTGGTCACAGAAAGTTGAACATTGGATGACTGACCTAGCAATCAACCAATGAACCAATCAACTTTATTCATACCCATTTGATTTCTTCTATTTTAATATTTTAATGTTTTTGCGGTTTTGACAATATTGCAGTTATAAACTAAATATTTAGCTTTGACCGAACAGTTAAATATTTAGGTCTGAGCTAAGCAAATTAAATATTTAGTTTAGGAATTAAATGTTTAACAAAAATTAAATGTTTAATTTTTAAATTAATTATTTAGCCTGGACAAAAAATATTAAGTTTGGAAATCAAATGTTTAGTTTGTAAAATATATATTTAGGTCTGAGCTAAATATTTTGTTAGCAAATTAAGTATTTACTTCGGAAATTAAATTTTTAGCTTGGATAGTAAATATTTAGGTCCGAGCTAAATATTTAGTTAGCCAATAGAATATTTAGTTTGGAAATTAAATATTTAATTTATACCTAAATATTTAGTTTACTAGCTAAATATTTAACTTGCAAGTTAAGTATTTAGTTTTTAAACTATATAGCTTGGAAATTAAATATTTAGTTTGGAACCATGACGTTTATAAATGTATGAATAAAATGGTGAAAATATGACATTGAAAAAACAAAACCCATTTTTTTCTCATGAAAGGTTAAAGAAACCAAAATATTGCTGTTATATGTCGACTGAGTAACTTTCCAAGCAGCACCCCATAAAAATGAGCTAAAATAGACAACAAATCTCCGCTCTCCTCCGTGGGTCAGTCTGCACACTAACATGTTTAAGGTCATTCACCTTCTTGGAGCGCTCGCTGCATGCGATGTTTGCAGATCTAACGAACCACTGACGATGCAGTAAATTGGTCATTGTGCACAGACTAAACGTGGTTCCTTCCAGTCTACGTAGCCACAGCTTAGACATGCACCAAAAAACACTCGAATACGAGCAGCTGATACGGATGAGCACAAATCTCACGAGTGGGTATCCTTTCAAACTGCTCTCCTTGGTGTGGAGCCAAACACGTTCAGAGGAAGTTTGCAGGACTTGTCTTCCTCTCCTCACCTGCCCGTGCAGCTGCAGGCCTGATTACCAATCAATACTTCTCTGCAGCACGCTGTCCTTTTCCTCAGAGCGGCTGCTTTGGCAACAGCGGTGAGAGAAGTGCAAGGCGGAGGAAAGCAGCGAGGCTTTCAATGCTGTCATGTGGAAACAGCAGAGGAAGCCAAGGACGAGGCAAAAGCAAAGAAGCAACACGACTGTGGTGCACTTTATGTGTTTGTCTTTGACTAAAGCAGATTTATTTGTATTTGAGTACAACCGTGTTCATATTTACCTCAGACTTAATCCTCCTTGTTTTACCAGCATCCCTTTAATGTGACATCTGTGTTTTCTCAGCTCTTGGTGCCATTTTAACTTGATAAAAAGGCACCACAGCCAAGCTTTCTTCTAAATGCAGCCCCTTTTTGATTCGGATG